ACAATTATGAAACAAGAGATTCCTCGAAACCCAACTTTTCTTCGCATATATTACTCTATATAAATTTACTGTGCAATACATGGCCCATTATAAATACATAATAAGGTTATGATTCCCTCTACCAAGTCGCCATTTATATTAATTTTTACAGGTGTCAAAGTCTGTCATGTCTCGGTTCTCAAAGACGCTTGGATGGCTCATCCATTCTTATCCAGGCATGACTCCTTGCTCAAAGATAAGGATCTAGGCGACTTAATCCATTCAAGTCTGCCCGTCGACGCGCAATTAACTAGTCCTGCGCCAGAGTCAGATGTGTCTGTAGCTAACGAAGCCTCAAAATCCACCCCTCCGCAGTCAGTGATATCCAATTCCAGTGCTGAACCCATCTCCGCGACAATCGACCCCCTCGTGCAGCACCCAGAGATCGAAACCCTAACTACAGGACAATCAGAATCGAGTGCAGCACATCAGAATTTGATTACCTCTCCCAAAGGTGGAAACAATGACGCGGTGGCTGACCTCCAGACACAGGAACTCAGCAGTCCGAAGATGCAACTCGTTATTGTTAGGACAAAACGGGACACACATGAGGACGACCGTCAAGGCGAGACTGCATGGCGTGATGGTGATGCCAAATCTGCACGCAGGCCTGGGGATGTGGACAGAGCGATAGAGAATGTAGGACGACCGTTAGGGAAGTCAGAGGAAGAAAGCAAAGTTGGAGATGAGGGACTACCTTCTAATAAGATGAATCTCACCCACAAGATGGTGGAAATTCTACCAGGAGAGCAGATCACATTACCTGAAGGCCGTTGCTTCTGCATCAATCAGGAAGTGCTATGTCCTCGTCTAGGTGGGTCTCTTTTAAGTATTCTCCACCACTTAAGTTTTTGCTAGATTTTCTTTTGTTCTTCACCAAAGATTAATTCAAAAAGTTGACGTTTCATAGTTCTCCAACACTTTTTCTCTCCTATTGGACCATCGAGGCACGGATACTGTGTGACAAGGCCGCAAAACGATTGCCTCCTCCTATAGAAGTCTGGCGACATCCCAGTTCGTGCTAACGCCTCTAACATGCTTAACGCAGATGTGAAGTAGCATGGTCATGCTGAGCTGCTCCAGAGATTCAAAGACAAGCTGAATTTACTTCCTACCGGCGCGCCTTAAACAATGCACTTGTAACGCGATTTTATGTGTGCTCCACTTAATCGTGAATTGCTTAAATGGGATGGCATGTTTGCGAGAGTGATCAGTGGGAATAGGCGAAATTTAATTAATATGGTATCTATAGGCATTATAATAGGAACTTATATTTTTTTTCTGACCATAAAATATATGCGAAGTGTATGGAACTGTTTGTTTACAGTGTACAAATTAGATTTGTGGGCCTCCCTTTAAGTACTGTCACCTTTAAATTGTAATTCCAAGTATTGTCATGAGCGAAATATGTGGGCGTTTTATTCGTCTATGTGCATAATCAACAAACTCTGTTTAAATATATGAGCAATTTTTTCACATTAAGGTCGGACAAATTTTGACAGTATTTGGTGCCATTTACACTCTGTACTATTGCATGCGTTAAATGAAAGTCTGAAAGCGACGGGCTCACATCAGTTTTTGGCCTGCCTCAAGCATTTGTTGGATGGACCAAAATTAAGGCTCAGTAATCAAATGTGCATATTCTCAATCTAAATTGTAAATTCTGCAAAATATGTGTTTTATTGCATGACTTAACTTAAACCCATTAGTATGACTGATCAAGATCTCTGTTAGGTTGATTTCCCTACGGATGCTTTGACCAGTACCGATTCAATTCTCCTAATATTCACCGATCATGACAAGTGAGAAATATGTGCGTCTATAAAGGGAAGCTATTTTATCTACTGACTTACTAATCATCATCATTATTATTAAGGCCCATCTCAAATAATTAATCAAGAATTGGTTGTGAGGCATTCATTATTAATTGTTTTTTTTTAATTTAGCAAAGCCAGTCAGTTCTCATTCATGCTCTATCCATGCATATCTGATATATTAAGGTAAAAATTGCAACAACTCCGAAAAATTTCTGGCATAACATTTTGGCCTCGTTTCTTTTAAATGCAAAGTACCCATGCGTGTCGAATGGCATATAGAACATACCACTTGGGCGGCTTTCGATTTTATATGATTGTGGTGCGTCTTATGAAACTAACCTCTGCAGAATGTATGATGTTACCTTTTGTTGCTAAGGGGCGCGCATTTGACATGGTTTTATGAAGTTTTGAATACAAGCTTTAAACATGCTAAGTGGATTAGTAATGAGTTGAAGTAAGGCTGTGGCCGAAAACTATAAGCAAGTGACTTGGACTCCCCAGCATCAGGGCTTAGAAATGGGGAGCCCATAGAAGTGATGAATTTATGGGCATTATTGTGGCTGTTATTAGTGTCATGGAATGTAAACTATGTACATAATCAACAAACTCTGTTTAAATATATAAGTAATTTTTTCACATATAATTCATTAAGGTCGGAAGACTTTTGACAGTATTTGGTGCCTTTTACATTTAAAATGATTGGGTAAATCTGAGTAGTATCCTCCAACATTATTTATAACGTATTCCTTCCATATCTTTTTGCCTGTAAATATGACAAACAATATCAGTTATACATATATGATTCTGACAATATTATAAAGATAAAAGGGGGCAACAAATCTTGATTGAGAATGAAGTAAAAAATGTCTTTCTTTGGCAGACAGCATCAAAGCAAGAATCCATACTTTACGAAGTAGAACAAAAATATACTGAACCAAGAGAAAAGTTGGCCGGCTGCCACCTTAGTCCCATTTTTATACACCTAACCTTACGATCTTAATGAAGAATCCCATGATCTGGTAGGCTACTTCATCCTTACCCCACATGCTTGCAGATGAGTGAAGCTACTTCAAGAACCAGGAGTGCGTTCGGTAGAAGCTATTTACCTACTCAAATAAACTATACGAAGTAAAGTTGGGATCGCGATCCTCTAATGTCGAATCATGTTTGGGTTTGTGCTATAGTCTATTGTGTGTATGTAGCGCTCATGCCATGGTAAGTGTGATAGTCCAAGCTAGACTTGAGTCCAATCCAGCCTCATTCTCTTGTTCAGTGGCTCTTCCTGCACCCTCTCTCTCGCCCTTTTTCAACAGCCAAAAATAGTTCTTACTCAGTTTCCTACACGTTCCTTCTCTTCAGGATGTTCACTATTTTGTTAATTGTATAGACTCCCTAATCCTACGCTTTGATGGGAAGTCCCCGTAATTCGCAAACCTTTGTCTTGAACCAGTCTATTAACTGCCCTATATTAGGAATATGTTCAGCGAGCTCAGATTTTTGGACCAATGGACGATTGAAAGCGGTTATGTGTTCGCATAGTCTATTCTGGATGAGTCGGAGGTCTCATTCACATAGAGCTTACGACACGAGGGCTCTCAGGATTATTGCGAATAATAGAGTTCACGTGACCCGTAAAACATCACGATTTACATGTACTCAGTTAAAGCAAATCTCCAAAACTTGGAAGTTTTCGGTAAGTAACTCTCACGACTTTATAAAGTTGCTTGATGATCAGCCAATATAAAGAGGAGATTTGCAGGTAAGTTCTACTCTAGCATCTATGTACCTTTAAATTTTGATAAATGAGGCATTAAAAGCCCTAGAATTAATTCTAAATAAACACCTTGAAATTATAAGAAGTAAAAAGTTAGGCAAATATTCAATCATTAAATTAGTCAATTTTGCAATGTATAATACATATTTTACCTTCAATGGTAAGTTGTATGGGCAAATAAGGGGCTTGTCTTTTGGATCTTGTTTAGCCCTTGTTTTAGCTAATAACTGCATGACCCAATTAGAATTTCGTATTTTTCACGAGACACTTCTAGTTCCTAAGTTATGAGATAGCTATATGGACTTAACCATTGCATACACAAGCTCAAACATGTTTTAGCATTAGAGCTCTGTACATTCGTTTATTTGTGTGAAGAAACAGCTGCCACCGAACACGCTTTCGGTTCGTGAAGTAATTTCACAAGCATACAGAGTTGGGTTGAAATAACTAAGCAGATTATTGGATTCTTTATTAAGATTGTAAGGCTAGGAGTATAAAAATGTAATTATGATTGCAGCCGGACAACTTTTCCCTTGGTTTAATATATTTTTGCTCGATTTCGTAAAGTATGGATTCTTGCTCTGATGCTATTTGCCAAGGAGGTGTCGCTGGACGGTAGGCGGTGGACTTATTCGCAAAATTCAACAGTATTTCTTACATAATGGGCTGACCTCGTTGTCGCAACTTGGCCTTGTTGTCAGGGCGACTTAGTAGAATGCACCAAGTTCGAAGTCGTCTGCCATAGTAGTTGTCATGATTCCCAGCATCAAACAGTGGACTTGGTACATTCTCAAACGTTTCGCCGGCATCGTAGTCGGCATCATCTCCGCACCAAGTTACGAACTCGCCAAAGATAAAAGTGAAGTCAATCCCTCGACAAATGTTCTGCCGAAAACGGTCACACTATCACTGCGGAGAAAATCAAAACTCACTGATGATGCCAATTACAATGCCGGCGAAACGTGTGTGAATGTACCAAGTCCATTATCTGGTGCTGGGAATCATGACAACTACTATTGCAGACGACTTTGGACTAGGTACGTTCTACTAAGTCGCCTTGGCAACAACGAGGTCAACCCACTTCTATAGATCGAAAGGAGACTGCGACCATACCAGAGGCCACAACAGGTTGGCCTTAATATCTTCAGTATTTCTTACTCAGTTTTCGATGAGACCACTTCATAAATCCGTTTCAGATTAGACGTCATTTCACGATATATCACTATAGCATTCTTCCAAACTCAATTTTTATCAATATCTTAGAGTTGAGAATGCTTCTAATTCGTAAAACATTTTGATCGAAATCTTGTCCTCTTTAGTGCTGGATCAAGTTTTGAACCGCAACCAACTCGATATCTTGTTAAAATGTTTTATTGTATTCATCCCAATGTATTCTTATCTAATCAGGGCAGATTAAGTTCCACCAAGCCTTCAGATTTGGATTACCAGTGCATTATAACCACTCATAATTGAAATATATCTAATTCCTAAAAATTATTGTCACCTTAGTTTGCTTTAAGTAATGACAGTCATGATAGTCGAACTGTCTACTTACATTTCGAATATTACTGTTACTATGCCCTAAGAATCGCATTGAATATTTAGCCGTTAACGAGAGTTTACTTCACCAAAGAGAGCCGCTCTAGTTTCATTATCGGGCCCTATTTGCAGACTCAGCCGGTGGCAATGATGAGCCCCCAATAATCCGAACATACAGCAAAACTTGGAAGCACATGCACTTGCGAAGCACAAAATAACGGCAGCCGTTGACTTTTTGCTTAATTCGTAGGTGTTAGTTGCCGCAAAAATAACAATTACTTATGCTGGCATGCCCTTCATTTCATTTGATAAGGCGGATGGATGGGATTCATAAATTGGCCGCAACGGATACTTCCTTGAACGTTTGTCTATTGAATAATGCGAAGAAGACCTCGGTTCATCGTCCTACGACCTCGATGACTCCGTGCTGAGCTTTCGTTCGTCATGTGACGGACATGGAGGGAGCCAGAAACCATTCTTCACGAGCAATCAATAAAACGTACTATACCATTAAAGGTGGTCGCCACATAACCTACTTACTTCTTATGCCACACCTTGTGATCTCAATGAGGCATTCCCTGATTTGGTTGGCTGTTTAATGCTGGGCCTACATGCTTATAGGCGAGTCAGTGGCGCAGGAAGGGGAGCAGATGTTGTCACAACTTTTATATATGAAAATAAACTAGCGTATGCTCCTGAAGTCATGGGACTTGTTAGAGCTTCTTGGATGCGTGTTCGGGTGTGCATGCAACACTCAAGTTCGTTGGCAATATTAGGTCCAAAAACAGTCTCCAGCTTAGTCTAGTCTTCACCACATACTTAGTGGCTCTTTCTGCTCCCTTTCCTTTTCCATTTCTCTCTCTCTTGCTCTCATTTTATTTTCAGATAGGGATGGTTCTTACTTAGTTTCCTACAATCGTTCCTCTTATTCCGGATGATCTTTGTTTTATTAATTTCAATTGACTCTCTGATCTTCGGTTAAGCTGGAAAGTCCCCATATCTGGCAAAACGTTCAGAGTAAGAACACTCTATCTGATGTTCTGTAGCGACTACATGTTCAGCTACTTCCGATTTCAGAATCCATAAAACTTTGCATACGGTTATGCTTTCTGTTAGCCTCTTATGTATGGGCCGACAGGTCTCCCCCACATATACACTACCACATGAGCACATAACCTTATAACAACCTGACCTTCAGAGGACGTCTGAAGATTATCTAAAAGAAGGCATGACTAAGGAAAGAGTTAATATTACTTTATACATTATCTTGACGCTCCATTTCCTCAATAATTCGCTTATCGTTCTTGAAAACTTGCAGGAGGATAGCATTAGCAACCTGGACAAAGAGTTGTCTAATTCTTTGTTTTGTCTCAAATAATGGTTTCCTTTCACTCTATTTCTTATTAGTTTGAAATTGTTAACAATTAATCCTGACAGATACTTGTTCTCAACTGAGATTTTTATCAGTCTTTCTAACTCTTGTTTCTGATGATTTACGTCCGCTAGACGTAAACTTCTTATTATCATTGATTTAAATACGCCTACCCTAACATCGTAAGCATGATTCGAAAGTAAATTAAGAAGGAAACCGGTATTTGCAGGTCTCCTATAAACATTTTAGCCCAGTTCGTTGTCTTTTTTAAAAAATATGACATCTAAAAGGATAGCTTACAGTCCTTTTTTAACTTCATAGTGAATTTAGTCGCCTTATCTAATCTATTAATAAAACCAAGGA